CACTAGAGGAGTTCAAAAGAGAATGCAACACTTCTAAACAGACCAGCAGGCGTCGTAAATTTTTAATGTGTAGAAATCGGCAGACGTCGTATTGATTCGGGGCCTTCATTGGCCTATATGAACGTCCCGCCCTTTCGGAACTAGCAGATGGCCACGACCTTTCGCGCTCGTTGTGTTAGGACGGTCCGTGACAGTAAAGCGAGCAGCGCACCCCGTGTCACGAGGAGTGAAATGGTACGAATGTGTCGTTGACGCGGCGAACATCTCTCTGCGCAGAGACCCGGTAGCACCGAAGGGTCTCTTTTGGAAACAGCAAAGCCCGGAAACTGACATTAAAAACGAGTGTGCTGGTAAATATACTTGTGTTTATTTTGCCCGGAGACTAGTTGGGTCGAAGTCAGCCTCCTTGTCAACTATAACCGTTTGTGAAGAGTGGCCTTCTCCCGAGATGAAAAGTTAGCGCCGGCTGACGTGTTCTTTTGAAAAAGGGAAGGGGAAAGAGAAAGTTTGAGTAACTGCAGTAACTACCTCGAAAGCTCCTCTCCCGATATGAAGCTCGAGGCATGTTACGTCTTGGTTACCTACTCGCGCATCGCTGCTCGAATCTATTCTTCACTTTGTTCCTCGGGCTGTGCGGAACAGAATGAAGAATAGATTCGAGCATCAGCTGGACACCGTCATCCTGCCAGGCTTATGTGTCGTGGGACTGGACTCGACGTCGATCAGTTAAGACTTCTTTTTATTTCGTGTGTGTTTCTTCGCACCGCTGAACTTTGTTCCTCGGGTGCGGTTTTGCTGAACTTTTTTTTTTATGTTTTATAACTAATTGTTTGTTAGAACTGTTTAGGTGTTGAGTTTATTTCGTTATGGCGTAGCGGAATGACGGTGTTGTTGAGAGCGTGTTCTCACGCATTCGGTTGTGTCCCGTTTAGGGAATGCCCGGAGGAGTGGTTTTTGTTCTTGCCATGTGCGGCTGAGTTCTTCCGTCTTTATTAAATCTTTGTTTTTTGTGTTTTTGTTTTTTTGTTGTTTTAGCTTTACGTGTCGTCGACTTCTTTGTCTGACTCTCCACCAGGCGTGGACCTATCATTTTACCACCGCTCGAACCTAAATCTTTTTTTTATTTTTTTTAACGCAATTTTCGTGAAGATCAGAGAAAATTGGGTAATTTTATTCTTATTTATTTATATTTATTCCCTACCCCTTCCCGCGACACTCTCTCCGTGTATTTTGGACCGTTTCTGTGTCATCACTTTTGTGTATTACGGAAGTGAAAGGATATTCCCTGATGATCTGTGCGATGTGTGGGGAACAAACCCTAGCGTCTGGTTTCGGAAAGAATTGTATATAATATATCAATGATGTGGTGACTTTCTATGTCTTAGTAATATGACATCTAATAACTAGTCATGCTAGTTTGCAATGAAAGGTTTATAAATCGAAACAATACATCGTCTCTTCCTTATAGATATTGAAGGTCTACTAGGCCTGCTGATTTGGTTAGATATGTTTCTCGTAGTTTCCCGCTCTTATCAAAGCATAAATAACTATTCAATACCACTAAATACGTTTATAATTGATTACAAAACGCTGAAAAAATTCAAGAAAACCTTTTCCCAATTTATAACAATGCACGGGTCGCTATGTCTAACTTAGGTCTTGCAAAACGAAGACGGCTTTTTCCGATATTGAGGCTTAAATATAGAACATACAAACAAAATACCCACTTTCTCAACTTGATTTTCGAGTAGACAACTATCATATCTACATTTTAACAAAAAATAAGAAATGGTTTTTTTTTTGAGAAAATCGGATTTAAAATGGGTACTTTTTGGTTTTCGCATAACATTAACGTAAACGTCCCGAAAAGGGAATTTTATGCAGCTGAGTTATTTTATAATATTTAAAAAGAGCGTGTTTTGGGCTCTCCGTAGGCATAAAAAATAATGATGTAACCCAAGTAGATCGCCAGTATTTAATTGTCAAAGTTCGTCAACAATTGACCGAGGGGGCGTTTTTGACATTTTTACAGAAAAAAACCATACCCTCTAAAATTATTTCATGGTATTAGAGCGTTTTAAATGTGCTCACAGAGTGCTTGCAAAAGGTTAATATAATGTGAACTAAAAATCCACGGCGGGAGAGCGAGCGAAACATCCTACCCACGACGGATGTGTAAAACTGCTTTCCGCCGCGGCCTCTTTTAAAATTCGTAAGTCGAGAACAAAAAATCCGACGAACATGCGGTTTGTGGCTACTGCGGTTTTAGAGACGACGTCATAACATATATTTTTTTTCAGCTAACTTAAAAATTCGAGCTTTTTTACCTGCACGATTTGAGATGAAAACACCCACAATATGGGTGATTTCATCTCAAATCGGGCAGGCTAAAAGGGTCTAATTTTTAATTTTCACGAAAAAATAGGTGTTTTGGGGGTATTTCTCAAATGAAGGAGGGCGCAAACCGCATGTTCTCCCGATTTTTTGTTCTCGAGTTACGAGCCGTAGAAGCCGCAGTGGCAGAAACTAGTGTTTTTGCCTGCCGTCGCAGGTCGCGTGTTTGACACCCTCTGCTGACGCTATTGTTTTCTCTACGCCCTTTTAACTTTTCCCCCTCATTTAATAGGTACTATAAACATACCTTGATGTATTCATATAGTTTTAGGAATTTGATTGTTTTCTAAAACACATGTCAAACTCGTCACTCCGGTCGCTTTTCGGTCAAATTTGACAGGTCATTACTTTGTCTGTACTTAAGGTAAATTTTCTTTCTTTGGCTCTACAGAAAGCCCAAAGCAAGCCCATTATAGATATAATAATATCATTATGATCTGTCGACTAGCCGCTCTGCTACCTTCACGTAAACGTTGTAAGAAATAACAAATGTTGAAAGCTTGAGGTCGATTTTCTCAAAAACCCCATTTTTGTAAATTTTTATTTTTTAAACTCTTTAAGACATATTAGTCGACTACAAGAAAAAACAGTATAGAAATGTAATATTTTGGTTATATGTCCTCTGTTTGAGCCGCAATCGCGTGAAATGTGTGAACATTTGTTATTTTTCACAACGTTTACGTGAAGGTAGCGGAGCGGCTACTCGGCAGATAATAATGATATTATTATATGTATAATGGGCTTGCTTTGGGCTTTCTGCAGAGCCAAAGAAAGAAAATTTACTTTAAGTATAGACAAAGTAATGACCTGTCAAATTTGACCGAAAAGCGACCGGAGTGACAAGTTTGACATGTTTTTTAGAAAACAATCAAATTCCTAAAACTATTTGAATACATCAAGGTATCTTTATAATACCTATCAAATGAGGGGGAAAGGTTAAAAGGGTGTAGACATAATAATAGCGCCAGCAGAGGGTGTCAAACACGCGACCTGCGACGGCAGGCAAAAACACTAGTTTCTGCCACTGCGGCTTCTACGCTTCGTAACTCGAGAACAAAAAATCTGGGGAACTTGCGGTTTGCACTTTCATTCATTTGAGAAATTCCCCTAAAACATATATTTTTTTCGTGAAAATTAAAAGCTGGACCCTTTCAGCCTGCCCGATATGGGAAATTTCATCTCAAATCGGGCAAAATAAAAAAGTCTGGTTTTTAATTTTCACAAAAAAATATATGTTTTGGGGGCATTTATCAAATGAATGGGGGCGCAAACCGCATGTTCCCCAGATTTTTCGTTCTTCAGTTACGAAGCGTAGAAGCCGCAGTGGCAGAAACTAGTGTTTTTGCCTGCCGTCGGAGGTCGCGTGTTTGACACCCTCTGCTGGCGCTATTGTTTTTTCTACACCCTTTTAACTTTTCCCCCTCATTTAATATGTATTATAAAGATACCTTGATGTATTAAAATAGTTTTAGGAATTTGATTGTTTTCTTAAAATCATGGCAAACTTGTCACTCCGGTCGCTTTTCGGTTAAATTTGACAGGTCATTACTTCGTCTCTACTTAAGCTACATTTTCTTTCTTTGGCTCTACAGCAAGCCCAAAGCAAGCCCATTATAGATATAATAATATCATTATTATCCGCCGAGTAGCCGCTCCGCTACCTTCACGTAAACGTTGTGAAAAATAACAAATGTTCACACATTTCACGCGATTGCGGCTCAAACAGAGGACATATAACCAAAATATTACATTTCTAGTCTGTTTTTTCTTGTAGTCGACTAATATGTCTAAAAGAATTTAAAAAATAAAAATTTACAAAATTGGGGTTCTTGAGAAAATCGACCTCAAACTTTCAACATATGTTATTTCTTACAAAGTTTACGTGAAGGTAGCGGAGCGGCTATTCAACAGATCATAATGATATTATTATATCTATAATGGGCTTGCTTTGGGCTTTCTGCAGAGCCAAAGAAAGAAAATTTACCTTAAGTACAGACAAAGTAATGACCTGTGAAATTTGACCGAAAAGCGACCGGAGTGAGGAGTTTGACATGCGTTTTAGAAAACAATCAAGTTCCTAAAAATATTTGAATACATCAAGGTATCTTTATAATACCTATTAAATGCGGGGGAAACGTTAAAAGGGTGTAGAGAAAACAATAGGGTCAGCAGAGGGTGTCAAACACGCGACCTGCGACGGCAGGCAAAAACACTAGTTTCTGCCACTGCGGCTTCTACGGCTCGTAACTCGAGAACGAAAAATCGGGAGAACATGCGGTTTGCGCCCTCCTTCATTTGAGAAATACCCCCAAAACATATATTTTTTTTTCGTGAAAATTAAAAATTATAACCTTTTAGCCTGCCCGATTTGAGATGAAAACACCCATATATATATATTGTAAGGAAGAAGAAGTGGCACGGACAGACAGGCAGGGGTTTGACCAAGCGCGCGCTCGGCACGGGCGCCTCTTGAATGCTGTACCGCCATTCATACTGGTCGCATTTTCCTCCTATCTTCTATTAAATCTCTTTTATCAACGTCTCAACACTTGGTGGAGGTGCGCTAGCGATCCCCAACCTGATCATCTGGTAATTCCGACCTGGAGCTGCGCAGCGGACGGTCGACTGTCACAACCATGAACGACGATAACGGGAATGTAAGAGACCAGCGCCCCACCAACACTTCAACGGTCAAAACTCGCCAACGTGACCCCCAGGATTTCACCGGTTCAGCCGACGCTGACGTTCTGGACTGGCTCAAAAATTACGACCGGGTGAGCCAACACAACCGTTGGGACGACACCATCAAACTCGCCAACGTCGTATTTTTCCTCAAAGGGACTGCACTCCAATGGTACGACAATCACGAGGAAGAAATTAATTCATGGGATGCGTTCAAAACCGCCTTCGCAGACGTCTTCGGTACACCTGAACGCAGAAGACAACAAGCGCGGGACAAACTCTCCAGGAGGTACCAAGCCCCCTCCGAAACATCGACGTCCTACATCGAGGACGTCCTTCGCCTCTGCGGACGTGTCAACGCAGCTATGCCGGAGGACGAAAAAATCAAGCACCTCTTCAAAGGATTATCCCAAGAGCTGTTTTCCATCGTCGCACCCAGGTCACCTCAGACCGTGCAGCAGCTCATTGCAGAATGCAAGCATTATGAAGACCTTCAAAGTGGTCGGATCTCCAACACCGGATTTGAACGGCTCCCTGAAGTTTCAACTACAACTGCCGACACTGACCTCCCCAATCTCATCAGACGAATAATTCGAGACGAACTGCGCGACTTCTTGGGATCCCTGCGCCTCTCAGCCAGTTCTTCAATCTCGCAACCCGAGGCGCCTAAGATTGAACAGGTAATCAAAGACGAACTTCGTGCTGCCCTTCGTCCTATTTCTTCGTCGTCTCCCACATGCATGGCACCATCGACTTCCTCACCACCCATCTGCTCTTTACAGCACTCAGCACCACACATTTGCGCTCTGCAAACTTCTCACAACGTCTCAATTCCATCCACACGCTACCTATCACCCCGGCGGACAGAGGAATGGCGCACTCAAGATCAACGTCCGATATGCTTCTACTGTCACGCCCCAGGTCATATCATCCGCTACTGCCGACGCCGCATGAATGCTGAAGCCTACAGTCGCACCCCACAGAATCAAACTCGACATTCTGACGACACCGACACGCGCCGAAATTTCGACAACCACGGCAGTTCCAATGACCGCCGCAATTATGACGACCATCGCAACACACGTCCCTTTCCAGCTGCTGAATTCCGACGTGGTCGATCACCCTCCCCCTATCCTCGACGAAACCGCTCCGTCTCGCCGTTCACTGACGCTACTACCGGACTTCCGTCGTCAAACTAAGCAGCGCAGCCTGTCTTAACAATGGAGGTCAGGCTGCACTACCGTCTCCGGTCCTAAATCCTCCTTACCTTGGCCCTACAACTATTACCGTCTACATTGGAGAAGAAAAACTTTTAGCATTAGTTGACACAGGTGCTGCAAAATCCTGCATTTCTGATCAGCTTCGCCGCCGTTTACACAAAGTGCTCACCCCTCCACCCGCTGGACATTTTCTACGGATGGGAAACAGTGAACTTGTGCAACCTCTTGGCTACTGCACTATCCCTATTTCTATCGGAGGCACTTCCTATATCATTTTGTTTACTGTACTTGCTAATTGTGTCGTCGACGTCATTTTGGGATGGGATTTTTTGTCGGCCACCGAGGCATTCATTGACTGCGCCAGCCGCGAACTTCATTTGAGCACTCGGCAAACTAATTACGACGTGTACGAAAATTCACCCATTTCGCTTCACACCGACGACGATTACCTCTTGCCCCCCCTTTCCGCTATTGCTATCACCCTCCTGCCGGACCGTCCATTCGAAAGCACCACTGGTTTCATTGAACCCATCGCAAACTTTGTCGCAAAAAAGCCAGTTATTCTTCCCTACTGCATCGCCACGACAACTCAAGGACAAGTTTCTCTTTTCGTCACCAACACATCTACTGAGTCGCAAATTGTTCCCCGTGGTGCACGTTTGGCCACTCTAACATCTCATTCTTATACCACGCTTGCAACGCTCTCCGAACTTACATCTACGAGGCTACCGTCAGCTGCCCAAAGCACCGCCGCACAAGTTGCTAAAATGATAGACTCTAGCTTGCCTCCTCACCAGAAGGAAGCCCTGACAAAGCTTCTTGTTTCGTATGAACAACTCTTCGATTTTAATAGCCGCTCTCTAGCTCAAACTTCGGTAGTCTCTCATCACATTGACACCGGCACAGCATCTCCCATTCGAAGCCGCCCTTATAGAATTTCACCCACCGAACGTAAGGCCGTCGACGATCACGTCAGAGATATGCTCCAAAGAAACATAATCGAGCCATCATCCAGCCCATGGTCGGCCCCTGTTGTTCTCACCAAGAAAAAAGACGGATCATGGCGATTTTGTGTAGATTACCGTCGACTTAACAAGATCACCACTAAAGACGTCTATCCGTTACCTAGAATCGACGACACCCTCGACACTCTTCAGGGATCATCATTTTTTTCTTCCATGGACCTTAGAAGCGGTTATTGGCAGATACCCATGGCCGACGCCGACAAGCCAAAAACTGCTTTCGTTACACCCTCCGGCCTATACCAGTTTAATGTCATGCCGTTTGGCCTGTCCAATGCGCCTGCCACATTCGAACGCATGATGGACACTGTGCTACGGGGTCTCACGTGGAGAACCTGCCTTTGTTACCTCGACGACGTAATTGTTTTCTCCGCCTCATTCAACGAGCACTTGCACAGGCTAGAAGAAGTGCTGAATTGCTTTCTCACCGCCAATTTGCAACTAAACACAAAAAAATGTATCTTTGCAGCTCGCCGAATTCAGGTCCTCGGTCATATCATTAGTGCAGATGGCATTCGCCCTGACCCATCTAAATTACAAGCTGTTTCTGAATTTCCATCTCCGAAAAATTTAAAAGACCTTCGGTCCTTTCTCGGCCTTTGCACATACTTCAGAAAATTTATACCCGGATTCTCCCACATCGCTGAACCTCTCAACACGCTACTCCGTAACAACACCGCTTTCCAATGGAATCGCCCTCAAAGCAATGCTTTTCAAGCCCTAAAAACCGCCCTAACCACTGTCCCAGTGCTCGGTCACTTCGTTCCTGGCTCTGACACTGAGATACGTACAGACGCCAGTGGCCATGGCCTCGGCGCCGTACTGGCCCAGAACATTTCCGGTGTCCAGAGAGTAATCGCCTACGCCAGCCGCACATTAACGAAAAGTGAACGTAACTATACCATAACTGAACGCGAGTGCTTGGCCGTTGTATGGGCGATCTCGAAGTTCCGCCCCTACCTATACGGCACACACTTCACTATTGTAACCGATCATCACGCCCTATGCTGGTTAGCCACCCTAAAAGACCCTTCAGGAAGACTCGGACGTTGGTCCCTGAAACTCCAAGACTATAACTACACGATTCATTACAAATCTGGAAAACGACACCTTGATGCTGACAGCCTTTCCAGATGCCCCCTTCCCCATGGGTCGCAATGTTCGAACTCCTCCGCCCACAAAGACACAACTGCTGTCCTGAGCTCCGTCAACATTGCACAAGAGCAACGCTTCGATTCTTTATTGCACCCCATTATTCAATGCCTTGAAGGTGCTTTGCCGCATCCTTCTGTCCAAATTCAGCGCCGTGCCCGTCTTTTTCAACTCAGAGATGGCATTCTTTATAGGCGAAACTACGACACACAACAAGGACGGCCATGGCTTTTAGTGATTCCCCGCCGACTACAAAAGGATCTTATCCAAGCAAACCATGACGACCCTACAGCTGGCCACCTTGGATTTTCTAAAACTTACTTTCGCATCCGAGGCAGTTACTTTTGGACAGGCATGACCCGCAGCATCAGCAAGTACGTTCGAGCCTGCCACCACTGCCAGACCAAGAAACGTCCTACCACAAAGCCTCCAGGTTGCCTACAACCCCTTCCCCAACCGCATCGCCCATTTGAACGCATCGGAATTGACTTCCTTGGCCCCTTTCCCCAAACCACTCGCAACAACAAGTGGATACTTGTTGCGATTGACCATTTAACACGCTACGTCGAGACGGCCTCCGTTCCCGCCGCTACCGCCCACGAAGTCGCAAACTTTTTTATCCACTCGATACTGCTGCGCCATGGAGCTCCACAATACATAATCACCGATCGAGGCACTCCCTTTCTATCCAACGTGCTCGAAGATGTCCTCCGCCTTTCTTCGACTGTTCACAGCGTTACAACAGCCTACCACCCACAAACAAATGGATTAACAGAGCGCTTCAACCATACTATCGCTGACATGGTTTCAATGTACGTAGCCGATCATCACGACAATTGGGACATCATCCTCCCCTACGTAACCTATGCATACAATACTGCACGACAATCTACCACGGGACACTCTCCCTACTACTTGCTCTATGCATCCGAACCCCTAACACCCCTTGACACGATATTACCCTACCAACCTGACAACTTCATGCAACCCTACGCAGAGGAGATTGTCTCCAGAGCAGAAGACGCCCGTCAGCTTGCCCGCATCCGCACCCTTAAATCCCAGCAACAACAAAAACTGCGCTATGACGACCGCCACCTCCCCACTGCCTATAACATAGGTGACGAAGTCCTCTTGTGGTCTCCCCGGCGAGCACCGGGCAAGTGCGAGAAGTTTCTCAAACAGTTTGTTGGCCCTTTTCGTGTCATCCGACAGCTTTCCCCAACCAATTATGAAGTCGAGCCCGTTACGCCGCACCGCGACCTTCGCTCCAAGTCCTCCGACGTGGTACACATCAGCCGCATGAAGCGGCTGATGCGCATGTAAGGAAGAAGAAGTGGCACGGACAGACAGGCAGGGGTTTGACCAAGCGCGCGCTCGGCACGGGCGCCTCTTGAATGCTGTACCGCCATTCATACTGGTCGCATTTTCCTCCTATCTTCTATTAAATCTCTTTTATCAACGTCTCAACAATATATATATATATATATATATATATATATATATATATATATATATATATATATATATATATATATATATATATTTGTACTAGCTGAAGCAGTTAAAAGTAATATATTTTGTTGGCTTTCATTATAATATATCTTTGGAGCAATTGATTTGCTTGAAAGTCTCGCAGCGGTGTCCGTGAAAACTTGATAACATCAGGAGGGTCTTTTTTGAAGGGCTCTTATTTTATTGTAATTCCCTCTTGTTGTTCCCCACACTGACACACCGTATATTTCTGAATAATATAAAGAGTACTACCCTAAGCGATTTTAAACCAGGGAGCAGTTTATCAATTTTATAAATACAGCCTATTGTTTTCGACAATTCAGAGCAAAGCTTTTGTACTTGTGTCGTCCAGTTTAATTCTTTATTAAACCATACACCCAAGAAATTTTCGAACTTGTTCTAAAGGTATTTCGTTAAAATTAACAAGTGCAGATGCACTATAAGAAAAGCCCGTGCGTCTACTTTCTTGCGCAACACTCAGACGGCCAACCACCACAGCTTACGGAGGCAGCTCAGCGAATGACGATGGCAAAACATATGTTTAGACCAAAAAACGCACTCTTGAGTTGTGACATTAAGCAATGCAAGCGTGACGTTTTTCATTACTTTGTCACAACTCGGACTGCGTTTTTTGGTCTAAACATATGTTTAGGCATCGTGATTCGCTGAGCTGCCTCCGTAAGTTGCGGTGATTAGCTCTCCGAGTGTTCTGCGGGAAAGTAGACGCACAAGCTTTTTTTTAGAGTGTGTTTGGCCTTCTTTATTGATGGGATCGAAATATGATGTTGTTAGTTTTTTTTGCGTTAAGCCGCAGTTTGTTGTTTTTCAGCCAATTTGACAATTTAACCTGGTAACCTTTCCTTGTAGTGAACCTTTAGACTCGGCCCTAATAATACGTTTGTGTCGTCTACGAACATAATTAGTTGCTGTGAGTCTTTTGTGGTTGTCATATTATTTTCGTAAATAAATAACAATAAAGAACCTAGAATAGATTCTTGAGGCGCTCTATCTTTTACTTTTAATTTGTCGGAAGGTATTTCATTAAAGGAAAAATACAAATATGTATTCGTTAAGTAATTTTCAGGAAGTTGTAGAGCCACACCACGTACTCCATATGAGTGTTTAATTAATACGATATGCTGTATCATGTCAAATGCGTTGGTGAAGTCCACAAGAAACCTAATGCGTAAAAGTTATTTTATTAAATCTTGTCAATTATTCCGTTTTTGTTGTGGAGTACAGCTTGCTCTGTGGATTTGTTTTTGAAAGCCATATTGGGGGGGTGCTTTGTTTATAACGTTACATTATTAACAAAATTCCTCTAATCTTATGTTAATTACCGTTTCAAATATTTTGTCAAAGAAAAAAAGCAGAATCAAGGATGGTCTGTAAATATTTAAACTTTCACCACTTTTATACGTACTATTGGACTTAATCTTGCAATGTTTAGCTCATTCTGCAATTCCTCGGTCAGTAGCATAATTGTATACAATGCATGAACGAATATGGCTAAGTTTTTCGGAGAATGTTCTACTGGCACTGATTTTGAATTCATTAGTGCCAGCTGCAGGCGTATCCTTTAAACTTGCAATCAACCCAGCCATTTCATACGGTGTGGTTGGTTTATGCATTATTGAGTTTTTCAACGACGCAGTACCGTCTATCACGTAACTTTCTCCGCCATTCTCTTTTCACTACTTGTACCAACACTAATAAAATGTTCGTTTATATTTTTTGCTAGGTGCTTGCCTTCAGTATATTTTTATTTTCAAAGATGATCGGGTGTATACACGTGGAAGAAGTCTTTCAATTGGTTATTTCATTTACTGCGTCCCACACTTTCCTCGGCTCGTTTTTTTATGTTGTCTAACACGTCCTGATAATAATCCCGCTTTGCTTTTTTTATATCTGCCGTTAGTTTGTTTCTCATCTTCCTAAATCGCGTCAAAATCTGTTGGTCTCGGGTTTTGACAAAGTCATCGAACATTTTTTTTTTTTCACTTAATTTTTTATAAAGACGTTCACTTATCAATCACTTTCTAAATTTTTTTTTCAATTTTCTAGTTTGAACGTGGGGAAAAGCGTCGTCATGACATTTTCTAAAGGTCTTTGAAAACTATCTGAATGCAACGTGAACGTCAGCATTCGTTTCTTCGAAAACATTGCTACAGTCAGCACTCTCAATCATTGCAGGAAAAATTAGCGAGCAATTGCTCATCTATTTTTCGATAAGAGTACGTACATTTTTTTACATATTTTTTATTGATTATGGACGTTAAGCAGAAGATAGGAAGGTGGTCACTAATATCCTTGGAAAAGACGGCAGATGTGATATCGGTATCGTGTATATTTGTGACACATATGTCAAGTAATGACGTGCATTATGGATAATCCTAGTGGGTATGTGCTATCGCGTTTGAGCATCCATAGGCTGCTGCAATATCGGTCAGTTCAATGCAAGTCACGTTACTCATGGTCTTATCAATGGGCACGTCGCCCATGATCAGAAACGGAAGGGTACGAGACCCAAGATAAGTAAGCAGTGCTTCCCAAAAGTTACAAAAAAGTCATGGTTGTCTCCAGTCGGAGGTCTATGTACTTACATACCAAGGGCCAACGAGAAATTAGCCCTAAATACGGTAAGCACATTGAATGTAGAGGGAGTTATGCGTCTACGTTATACAGTCTGCGCCTTTACTGCATGGCACTTGGGCGTTTGTTGACTCTCCAGTCCCGTTCACTTGTGTTCCTGAAGGATCTGTTGCACAGATCAACGTCGTGATTTTGTACAACCAATAGTGTGGGTTAATTTCTTCTTTTTTTTTTATATCAAGACACAAAGAGGGTTTCTCATTGGCTCCAGGACCTGTCCTTGTTTGTTCTTCACTCGAAATATAACACCTCGTTGTCCAGCAACTCCGCGCGAGAGTTTGATTTTTGTTTTTGTATTCTACGTCTGTACCACGGTGTGGTCTATACCTATTGAACACGAGGATCTCGGTGGAACCATCAGTTATAGGGAGTATTCACTGGCGGCCATATCTGTGTGCACGGCGGCTGAGCGCGTGCTGACGGCGAGCTTCCGCGGTCCTTTTGGAGCTTGCATTTAGCACCATAAAGGTTGCCGGTCTTAGCAGGCTATTAATGTGAGCTCGTTCTGGGCATGCGCTCTAAACATCGCCCTCAAGTATGGCGTCCAGCGAATACCTCCTATAGCGCGGTCCACAGAGAATTCCCTGGCAGCTTAATTAAGAAACGCGGGGCGTGTCAGGTTTTGACCATCTCATGATTGCTCCGAAACCAATCATACCGCGGCATTAGCCGATAAGATCGCCAAAGAACGACTCTCGAAGCAAGAGGCGGGAACATAAGCCATGCCCTCGTGCTTCTGGAAGCTGTCAACGACAATAGTCGTAGCAATAAATGCCTTTTCTTCGGCTATAAAAAAAAAAAATGAAACCTTTTTGTTTTGTTTTTACTGGGCTGATTTACACTCGCGACTGCTTACGGCCGAGTGTATTAGGGCCACTTGTGGTGCATTATGACAAGTGAACAAACGGCACGCTGGCGCCATCTATGAGGAGGCACTGGAACTGCCTTTCGCTAGGGGGAAGTTCAAATGCGAGGTCAAAGTGTACGCACTATCTAGAAGAAATGGTCGTTTATAATATTATCAGTTTTTCGAGCCAACAGTTTAAAAAAGAAAAATGATGCGCGTGGAAAAGGAGGAAAAAAAACGAAAATCGCAAGTGATTCACGCTCACCCGATAAATGACGCCAGTGTGTTCTTGTCGCCAAATATCCCACGAGGTCGTAACGGACTCGGCCGTGTAAGTAGTTGCAAGTGTGTGAATGAGCCTTTAATAGCTGAAAGGGTACGGGGTCTCGTGTTGGCTAGCAACTGCCAGGCGCTCTACAACGAACGAAGACACTCGCGGCCAAAGCGTCGTTCGCTACCCACAAAAAAGATTAGCGTCTGCTCGGGCGGAGCTTCGTCGCACACGTGATCACTTCCCTTCACCTTTTCGCGTCTCCCCTCGTGCGCTGAAGAACTCCTCAGTTTTTCCACCTTCGATCTCACCTCTCACACGCGAAGGGACACGTTCTGTATGACTCGCTCACCGTATACAGCCTGCCTTCAATGGCGTCTGGACTATATGGCAAGTGCAGCTGTGCGGGGCTACAGCACTGCTGCAGCCCTGCATCGCTGCAACCCAGCACGCGGGTTCGAGGACCTGTACTAGGCATCAACTACTTCGTGCTACATTGTCAAGGCTAACCTAGCATCCGTAGTGCTCCAACTCCGTTACAGCTATTCTCGGCGTCAACTAATTTGTGCTACGTCACCGAGGTTAACGTAGCTTCCACAGTACTCCAACCCTGTCAAAGCTGTACATCGTTTCAGCTTAGGTCCAGACGCAGCCGAAGCTACGAAGTAGGGGAATCAATCAAGCAGCTTCAAAATCGCAAGTCACTGAGCCTTCTTCTGTTTATGATTGGTTCAGCGTTGATAGAACACGTACAGAAACGCGACGAGCACCATCATGGTGCCCTTTTGGCGATCTCTAATTGATTAACGGCAACATCCCTTCCCGGTGGTGCATCGCAACACAAACAAGAAAGAAACATACACACCGACATCAAGCACTCTAACATTATAAAACCAAAAATACCGGAAAAATCTAAAAAAAAAACTCCCATACCTTACTATAGTTTTGGCATGACAAAGTTTTTCAGATAGTTTAAAGGCATAAACATGTCAATTGAAGGTGGCGAAACACACTAATAAACGAGGCTTCTATTCGGGTGACAGGCAAGAGGTGGGAGCATCCACCTACATAAAACAGTTCCATTGACCTCAAAAAGCAACTAGACAAATAAAAGCTTACGGTAGATAACGAACTTTAGCATGACACTTTGCCATCTAAAAGTTTGTGCAAAAATAACAAATCATAAAGATTTTCTCTTTTGGAAAGCGTGTCCTTACCCAGTTAACTCAGCAGGCAGTTATAGTCATAGTTATAATCCTTTCCGAGGGACGAGTCATAATATTCAACACATAAGGCTTCTCTGGACGTTTTCAATCTGTTTAGATTTTGCAGAATTAAGTGAATTCCAGGAAGTAGAATCAAATTCAAATCCTGAGTGGACAACAAAATTATAGAGCAAAAGTGCAGTATTTTAAACTCGGGTAATTTTATTCTATAATGCCCAGCATCCTCAATAATGAAGCCACCACAGCATAGACGTGCGAGTCTATTCAAAATGCGGAATCTCATAACACTCCAAGATCGCGCATGGCAGAAATCATTTTTATTTCGGACATGTTGAGCATGTAAGGATATGTATGCACTACACGTTTTCAGCTAAATGGGAAGACGTTATTTTTTCTGTGATGTAGCTTAAGACCATTATATGAGCTCCACATATTGACTTCGTCGGTATCAGTCTGCATTTTCATGTAGTCGTAGTGGGCTTCAATCTTGCGAAATACTTTTACAATATATGTGTCAAGAGGTACCCGCTCTGCGGCACGGCCTCCAGAATGACCGCTGTCGAGATGTCACTGCAAGCCTTATATATAGTACCGAAGGCAGCCAGAGTGCTCTTGTCAATGGCCGAGTCAGTGGTTGACGGCGGCTGCTCATACGTCGTTGTCGCTCTATGCGCAGATGGCCGGCAGCGATGAGGGCGCCTGAAGGAAGACGGCGGGGCTCATCCGTGAGCCGCGGCCCATGCCGTCGTCCAGCGCGTCGTCGCAGGCTTTGCCCCTTCTCCAGCCCGGAGAGGACGAAGAGTTCGAACCCAGCGCCGATGGGGCCGCCGACGAGGACCCCGGCTCGGGCCACTCGTGGGCACTCTACAAGGGACTCGCCTTTTCGTCCCTGTCGAGCCTCTTCTTCTCGCTCTGCACCGTCATCGTCAAGAGGCTCAGGTAAGAAGACAATTAAGATGCATTCCTTTCAACAATAATGGTAATAAGTACCATTTACATAGCTGGCAACGGAAATCTGTCCTGTTTACTGGCGGCAAAGACAGTAGTCAAAAGTTTCACGGTTGCTACTAGAAGGAAGGGCACCTGGGTGATCGACGTCCGGCAGATCTACGTGGATGGATTTAGGATGTCGCGTTCATCCAGTGATTTTATGGGTTGACCTTTATTTTGAAGCCGGAGGAGCTCTACTCTCTCAAAAATGCCTGCATGTACTACGCCATTATACGCTCGGATGAACGATTATTTCTCTTCCTTTAATCAACCGAGCAAAACAACGAACGGTGTATCAATCCAATGGTCTGTCGTTTTGTTGAAAAAAAAAGGCGTCCTTCCTTTTTTTTAGACTGACACTGCACTCAGAATCGCCAGTGAGGCGGTCATCGTCCAGGGACAGGCAATGCTGAACATCCTTCTCTTCCTATCGATGGTAGGATAAAATCCCCGACCGTCCGCCCGCCAACTTGGGAACACGCGCGCGTGTGGCTGTCAACGGCCCAGTGTGCACCCCTAAAAACAAATGAAGCGCTAAACGGTGGATGGAGGGAGTGGAGGGTGTGCTACACGGGACTTCTGGACTATTCTTCTGTAACATACCGCCAATGTCTTGCTGCATCTGCATTTTTGGGAGTATTTTTAGTCGTAAGTATATATGTTCGAATAATTTTATTTTTATGGCTCAGTTTTTTTTATGCGGCACGTCGGTTTCGCGAGGGTCGCTCCGTTAGGGCGTCCATCATAAACATACCCGCAGATACGCGAGACGCATATAGAACACGGATCTCGACACGCCGTAGACTTGGCAGGAAATGCTTCGAAATGAAATTCAACTTTGATTTGGACACTTGCTGGCATCTTTTTGGCGCTGTCAGCAAAGTTATTTCGTGATTTCACGAGTGTACCTAAGACCACAGGAGATACACGAACGAACTGTCGCGTTCTTCCAACATCATCTAAAATAATCAAGGCCTGTAAACATCCTCCTCTTCCTCCACGGAACGTCATCTCAATCGGGTGGCGCTGACTTAGCAATTGGACCCGAGTCCGGTGCCGAGCGTGCATCGACGCGTTGATTGGACGCGAGGACCAGCCAAACGTTGACGTACCATCGGTGTCCAATCCGTGTTTTCGCTCGACCTCACTCTGATGACGTCACAATCGTAGTGCACAGGCCTCGAATATCCTATAGTCGGTGACAGGTTGGGAGTTCAGGGGAAACTCCTCCCACCTCTCTTCACTTTAGCAGAGCGAACGCTGGAGAGGAGGCGAGCTCCTCTCCAACGCGCGCTCTGCTAAAGTGGAAAGAGATGGCACGGAGTTTCCCCTGAACTCCTAACACCGACTGGTGTTGGTCCGCCTCGATTGATACGCAAATGGCCGCTCTGCCCCGCGCAGGTACCTGCACGCCGGCGAGCTGGCCATGGTGCGCTTCCTGGGCATCCTCGTGTTCACGTCCCCACTGGTGGTGGCCAGCCGGCAGCCCCCGCTGGGGCCCCCCGGCGTGAGGAAGCTGCTGATTCTACGCGGACTGCTGGGAGCCACCAGTCTCTTTCTCCGCTTCTACGCCATCCACTACATGCCTATCGCCGACGCGTCCGTCATCATCTTCAGCGTGCCGGTCTTCGTGTCGGCGCTCGCCAAGGTCTTCCTCAAGGAACCCTGTGGCCTGTTCCACGTGGCCGCCGTGCTCGTCACACTGGTCGGCCTGGGGCTCATTACCAAGCCGCCCGTGCTATTCAGCGGCAGCGCCGACTTCGAGCTGCGAGGCGTACTGGCCGCCCTGTCTTCCACGGTCTTCGGCGCCAGCGTCTACATCGTGGTGCGCAAAGTCAAAGGCGTCCACCACTCGGTCATCATGTTCAACTTCGGCTGGGTCGCCATCCTCGAGACCACCGCCATCACGCTCGCCGTGGCCAAACTCGAGCCGCCAGAGTGCGGGCTCGACCGCTGGCTGCTCGTGCTGCTGGCCGTGTTCAGCTTCGCCGGACAGATCCTGCTCACCAGGGCTCTTCAGCTGGAGCAGGCCGGGCCCGTGTCCGTGGTCCGGGCGGCCGCGGACATCGTGTTCGTCTTCATCTGGCAGGTCATCTTCTTCGGCGAGGTGCCGGACCGGTACACCATGTCGGGCGCGCTTCTGGTCACAACATGCGTGCTGCTCACGGGACTGCGCAAATGGGTGTTGTCGCTGCCCGCCAGCTCGGCGGCGAGGACGAGGCTCGGCTGGCTCGCGCTCTGACCCCGGGAGTGCTCCCGCGGGGAGGCGCCAACGATGCTCGTTCGCCGGGCGACGTCACGTGGGCTGCGCGATGGACGGATCGGGGCAGTTTGCGATGGGGGCCGTAGAACGTGCGCGTCGTTCTCTGGCGGAGCGGGAAATGTCTGTCCTAGTCAACAACTCACATATCGTGTGAAGCTTGAGCCGGTTACGTTGTATAGCTGTGATAATATAAGGATTATTATCTCCCCGTTTGCGCAGGTGATGAACAAAATAAAAAAGGATGGAGGGTCAGTGCTTGTTGCAACTGATGTTGTATCTTTTTACTTTTTTCGTTGACTGAATTACACAAAGTTGGAGGCAAAGTTGTGTACATGTTTAGACAACGGGAACTTAGTCTACCCCTAGGTGCTCATCTGCTGTATAGGAGACATTTGATCAGGATAGTACAACTGCTAGCCTAGGGTTCAGGAAATACCCAAAGTAGAAAAGACAGCAGCTAAATAAAGAGGTTATTCTCATCTTGACTTCTGCACATAATTTTCAAGATTACGTGGGTAGAGTTAGAACATATTACGTGAATTACGTGGGTAGAATTAGAATATATACTATATTCTAATTCAACTTGTCTTCGGTTTCTTTTTTAGACGTGTACGAAGGAAATGGCTCGAAAATAATCAAAATAATCAATTGCACTCTTTACAGCACGTGGGTCGCACGAAGAAGGTTAAACTTCCTCTGGAAACTCTTGCGATGAGGGTAGACGCCTGGGTTATACCATTCGAGTCGTCTAAGCTTCTTGTGCGGAACTGGAAAGAACTCGACGCTTTAAATAATCGTAGAACGAAATCAAATGCATAATTTTTTTTTCGCATAAAAAATGCCTTTTACAACTTCGAGCGTTACGCTCGTAGTGGTGACAGTTCATACTAGTTTGCGTCTAAGAAAACACCAAACACGCAATTTATAATAGCTAAGATTTAAGTAAGCTCTAAGGTGTTACCCTGAACCTAACTGGGTTAAATGTTTACGCCAGTATAGGTGTGTGACACTCATTCTAACCAATAAAGCTGTAAACCATTTTTACGACACAGGACAGCACCGGCGACGACAACAACACACAAAACAAGGACTTCCTTTTGATCAACCTGGCGCCGCCCGATTGTTGACCTTATATTACCAGTTAGCTTATCTGAGGCTCGTCTTTCCAACTTAAATTTAAAACGAAGCCAAACGGACTATCTTCTAGCTCATCCCCTCTTCCCAACCACCACTTAAATTAACATTACATTACCGTTGAATATTTTTGGTGTAAAGACGTCATCACTTCTGAAACTGTAGAAGTTTTACAATAATTAAATAGGTGCATGCGGAAATTCATAATTTGGAGTATACTTTCTGCTAATCTTATATGCTCCTGTTTTTCACTCAAGAGGAACAAACTGAGAGTTCACCTTAAAAAAAAGCCCGTGAGTCTACTTCCCACACAACACTCGGAGTCCCAATCACCGCAACTTACGGAGGCAGCTCAGCGAATGATCACGATACCCCGAAACATATGTTTAGTCCAAAAAAACGCAATCCGAGTTGTGACATTAAGCAATGCAAAACGCCACGCTTGAATTGGTTAATGTCACAACTTATAGTGCAGTTTTTTGTCTAAACATATGTTTCGACATCGTCATTCGCTTAGTTGCTTCCGTAAGTAGACACATGGGCTTTTTTTAGAGTGTAGCCCCGTCAAGTTCGCTTCACCCTTAGCAGGCGTGCGATAGGTGGAACAACGACGGCGTATCTCAATCTTGAGTTCGCGTCGAGTCCCGAGCACTTGGCTGCGCAGCCAATGATGTTACAGGATTAGCCGACAAGGACGAATGAGAACAAGTCACGAAGCTATAATCCCACTCCCTGCGTTTCATAAGTGTCAGAGTTAGGGGCGGCATCTTTCCTGTTGTCAACTTGGGAAACGCAAGACCTGGCTTGATAATGGTCACGCGTCAAGCTTTGCAATTCGTTCTTCTGCGTCGTTCTCGGCCTATGCAACAACTTGATTGACTGTGGAGAGATAACGTGATGCTCGCGTCTCGCCGCGCCCTGCGGCGCCGTTCGCGGTGCCGAAAGGAATGCCGGGAACTGACTGTATGGAACCGGCTGAAGCAGACGACGCTGGCGACCTTGGAGGCAACGCCGTCTGCTTGGAGTCCTAGCTCTACCTCACACTGTCTTCAGTGTAACGTGCAGGTCACTTGGCAGATGCTGCGAGAGCAAGGATGACAAGAAGAAGCACACGGACCGCTCCCAAAATTAGTTGCGTACATCGCGAGCGGCCATGTAAGAATATTTTTTTTGCAAAACGTCTATCGCTGAGTTTCAACATCAAAAAATATCCGATATGTCTAAACAAAAAGGGGAAGGGGCTAGAAATAAATGATTTCCTTAGATAATACGCTATAGGCCGCGGTAGACGTTAGTTCACAAATGTGGCGTGTTGATGAGCGAACTAATTATTAAAACGCACTAACTTCCGTAGCTAAATGTTCGCCTTAGCGGACACATTCCAATCATAGATTTGTCGGCAGCCATCAAACTAAGTCACAGCAACAAAGTAGAAAAAAATATAATAATTTTAAATAAGTATATCATATTTACATACATTATTTAAGTTACGTCAGCTAAAAAAGTGACTTTTTTATCACTATATCCGTGTTTTCTAATTGCTGCCTGATATGAATCGTTCCTGCTTGATCATCCTTTCCTTCAAATACAAAATAAATGCCCATGGGAAGCAAACACTGATATACAAACAATATAAAACATTTTTCGGTATTATATTGAGGAAAAGTTTCCGATTTAAATCTTGATAGACAAATCGGTACGATTTAAATCATCATTTCGATGACGATTTATATCATTTGATTTTTTTCTCCATTCTGCGCAGTAATCGCTAAATTTAGGAAAAATATAAAAAATAAGAAAAAAAAATTAGCAGGAGGTGAGTAATCGCGAACAGATTTACGAGTGGCGTTAGAACTTAGATTGCACGTGATTTGCTTCATGGATTTCCAAGAGTCATGCCGTGCACAACATGGCTGACATGATTTTGCCACGAGCACGAGACCTCGTGGTTAAACCATGACACATTTTGATAGGTGTATTCAAGCGCAGATCTTACGCCGCATCTTTCTTTTCCCCCTCATAGTTTTGACCCGGTGGGCTCTAGGGTTCTGGACAGCTTAAATTCGCCACTGAAAAGCACAGATAAAAATGTGCCGGCTACGACGAATATTTACCAGAGTTAACAGGGGAGTTTTAGGGAATAGGTTCGCTATACTTACTACGTCCCACTCGTTTTATGACGTACACCGCAATCGATAACAAAACGTATATAATGTGAGCTGTGAGATCAGGTGAGACATATTTCACGCTTTTATTTTACGTGCGTGCGCGTGCGAGTGTGAATTTATTTTTATTATCTTTATTTCGTGAAGGTATATGCAGTAAAAAAAAAACAGCTTGATATAGCCACAATCACCCCACAATCTCAAAATAACAACAGCAACTTAGTTTGTAGTTTACAATCCTGTCTTGTTAAATAACAAACGATTTGAAAGCAAGCTGCGGTGCTTATATCGTTTCTATCTGTTTTGGTTAAATAATACTATAACAGCGAAAGCAAAGAGTTAAAAAATGAAAGCCGTTTACAACTCCCCGTAACGCCGAATTGGAGCGCAGCTCTTGAGGAGGAGGGAAGGCAACTGAGGGGAGCGTATACCCCTCTTCCCTCCTCCTCCCCTCGTTATTCAAGCTCCTCCTCCTCTTTCTTCTCCTCCTCCTTCCTCCTCTCCCTCCTCCTCCCTCTCCTTCTCCTCCCTGCGTGGTGCATTATGGGACATTTCCCATAATGCACCGCGCGGTTACGCCGACGGTGACGGCGACGGCGACGCCATTCAAGCCGGAAACGGGCGCCTAGGAGCTGCGCTCTAAAAAAAAAAACAGTGCACAGCATCTGAATGGCTAGCCCACGCAGCCCTACGAAAAAAGTGGCGTCTTTGTCTTTTCAAAGGGGTGATGGAGACGAGCGGATGAGAATTACTATTTATGGCCTATCGGTTCGCCTACAGATGCGCATTCAAAGCGAAACTCGTGAGCTCGAGTCCATAGCCTCAAGTTTGTGTTTTTTACGGGCCAAACCGACAGAGGACATCTGGCAGGCCTCAGCGAAAGAGCGGGGATTCATCTCGAACACCGGACCTTTTGATGTGCCGAAAAAATCTCAGTAAGACAGCGTATTTTTTTTTTTTTTTTTTTTTTCGCCATGGGTTTCCGTCAAGTGGCAGGTACCTCGGTCGAGATTCGAGCCCGCCAACTGGGGATTTGTAGGCCGGCCGGTGCTTTGCCTCGGAGCCACATGCGGCGAATCCCATAACCGCTATACGCGCAGATGGCACGTCTTCTCACAGAGCCGCCAAGACTCTCGGATAATTTATGTGCAGATGGTCAGAACACGCAGAAAATTCGCTTCTTAAGAGGGACGAGTATCAACCCAAAATGATGTGCTTATCTATCCCAACAATCAATTTTTTTTTTTTTTTTTTGCAGTTTTGCGTTACTGCAGGTATTGCTAAGTGGGCCCTGCAAACCCAAAATAAACGCATATTCTGGATGCCTATAGGCTCTTTCCGGCATGCTACTTAATTATTATCTCTAAATTGAAAATAACTACTAAGAAAACGGCCAAAGAAGGTGATGCAGTTATGCCGAAAGCAATTCATTTTAATTTTCGCGCATTGCGGTGGGGTGACGAAACGTGCTGTATAACTTGCAAGTCGATCAGCCAATGTAAAAAAGAGCATTTTCTGCGGGCTTATTTTTTTCTCTTTCGTTTTACTGACGTGAGCTTTCCCAGCATTCATTTCACTCCATCGAACGTCTTGCAAACCATCGGCAAGGTAAATGTTCGGCAGCTCTCCGCCGGTTAGGGGGAGACATCGGTCGAAAATCACAAGCCCTAACCATTAGTTTACTAAACAGTATCCCGACGTTTCGGGACAGTTTCGGTCCCTTGCTCACGGGTGAGCGCCGGCCAGGACACGCATCGGTCCTGAAACCGTCGGGATAAACTCAACGTTAGAGTTTGTAATGTTCGTCTGAAACCGCCGGGAACAAGGTGCACTTGCCTCCCCCCCCCCCCCCCCCCCCCCCCCCTTTTTTTACAACATTTGACGTCACGTTTTCAGTGTTGTCTCTCAGACCGAATTTAAAAATGTGAACTTTCTGAAAAAGGTACATATACCGTATTTTCCGGACTATAGTCCGCACCCGGTGTATAGTCCGCAGGGGGAAATTTGGGGTCAAAAATAAAAGATTTTGCTTAGATAGCCCGCACCCAGTGCATAGCCCGCACCCGGTGCATAGTCTGCACCTGGTGCTTAGTCGACACGAAAATCTTCTCATAGACGGCACACGTTTACAAATGTCTGCTTTTTAGCTCGCAATAAAGCCTATAATGTGCATAAATCATCGTTAACATACACTTT